GTATAAATTTGTACGGGGATATCGCATGAATAGCATGAATAGCATGAATAGCACGAATAGCACGAATACGTATGTGATTGCATTTCCATCTTGTACAAAACATTTAAAATAACGGTATAAAAAAAATGATTGAAAAATAAAATTCTAAACTGAGTAGTTGATATAAGCTGCTTATTTGTTGACGTGATACGAAAACGAGAAAGGTATTACGGCGAATATGCATGAGAAAAAAAAAACGTTCCAGGTTTACTAACAAGTCTTTCATTTCATCCCGATCCGAAATAGTTTATAGTACAGAACAATTTTTCCAGGTTGTATTGTTTTTAAGTACTTTTCCTGACACATTATAACCCCGCCACAAAAAAAAAAGTAGGTTCTTGTACTACAATAAATATAAATTCCCGTCGGAATAATTTATAGGTGTAATATTATACTATGGTGCCTTTTTTTTATTTAAAATTTTTATAATCAAAAACGATAGTTTTGTGCACCTAGGTTTGATTTTACTGGTTTAAGTAATTTTGTTTCATATGTAATCAAATTCAAATCCGTAAAAAAAAAAAAAAATTTTTTTTTTATTACGTATTGATATTATCGTTTTGATTACCCGGTATTATTGGTTTTGTATGTATGGAGTTTGTAACTCATTCATTCATAAAATTGTAACAGAATAAAAATAAAGCAATTGTGGGATATAAATATATAGATTGAATGATTTCTAATAGCTCGCTTGAATGACGATTCATGCAAATGACAAGCAAGGTGTAAAAAAAAAAAAAAAACGGAAAATAAGTCATATCAAAAATAATCAAAATAATCAAAATAATCTAAAAAGGTTAAAAAAAAAAAAAATCTTGTCAGATAACGCCGAGAAAAAAATTACGTTATCATTAAAAAAAATCTGATTGAACATAAGGGGTAGGTTAGTGTTCCAGGATTTTTTATATTTCGTATCAATGAATTGATATTCGACATACTTGTAATGGAAATGTAATTCTTACCCAGAAAGAAAGATAAAGAGTTGCATACAGCAGATGCAGAAAATCTTGATTCGTAGTTAGGTTCCACAGCAGCCGAATATACTAGTTATTAGTAATTGGTTGGTACTGTACTTTAAAATAATAATAAATAATAAATATTTATTGTAAATATTGTAAATATATACCATATATTACAATATTTCACAATATATTTGCAATATTAATAGATATTTGTAACAGATAATACGTAGATGATACATTAGTAATTATAAAAATAATTAATTAATAATTACGAATAATACGAATAATACGTAGATATAGATAATATACGTAAGATAATATAAATAAATCAATAAAAATAAAAAAATAAATAAATTAAATATGAATTAGAATTAGATAAATATGAATTAGATAAATATAAATTAAATATGAATTAGAATTAGATAAATATGAATTAGATAAATATAAGTTAGATAATATAAATATGAATTAAATATGAATTAAATAAATATGAATTAGATAAATATGAATTAGATAGATATGAATCAGACAAATATGAATTAGATAAATATGAATTAGATAAATATGAATTAGATAAATATGAATTAGATAAATATGAATTAGATAAATATGAATTTAGATAAATATGAATTTAGATAAATGTGAATTTAGATAAATTTGAATAAATGATACATAAATACGTAAAAAAAAAAAATAAATAATCAGTAATGATATAATAATAGTAATAATAATCAGCAGTAATAATACGTAAAAGTAGTAAGTTTACTGTACAAGCACAAGATAAAATCAAGAAAAAGGAAAGAAAAAATTAAAAACAGGTGGCAAACAGGTATGCAAGGTAGAAATGGATGCATTTGATGTAATAAGTATGTTGTATGTGTATGTTGTATATATGCAGTACAGTCACACGTATCATGAATCATGAATCTTGATGCAGGAAATGGCTGCAAACTTTAGCCTGATTTTTTATAAAAGGAGGTAACAACCGTAAACAGAGAAACAGAGCAATCCTTGTTTATAAAACAGACAGATGTTTATTAGAAAGTTTATTAAGTGACACACTCAATTCATCCGTCTTTTTCCATTTGCACGTGGTAGATGCAGAAATGTTGATGAGCACAAACCAACGTTATTCGTAATACATCAACAATTATAAAGCATGCGCCCCACCTGGCCCCTGGCATACAGTGTTGAAGAATATCTTATTTACTCTCCATTGCATACCCGATACAAACATCAACAATCAGTCAATCAATTCTGCCTGATAAATATGATAGTGAATGTAGTACCGATGAACTAACTTTGTTAATTTTTAATGATATTTGGTTTATGACAATTAACTTTTTGCAATACACAGATTTACAACTGTAAAAAAAAGGCGAACTGTCACACAGAAATCCAGAAATCTTGAATCTTGGACCGCCCAACTTTTTTTTTTTTTTCATCTTTTTGATGTTTTTAACTCTTGTGGTAACAATCTTCAAATATTATAATTTGAAGTACAGGTTACAATATTTCCCAAATTTTTCTTCATTGTAAAAAGAGGCGTTAAATTATTGCGTTGATTTTCTCTAACCTTTTATGGTTATGTATGAAAAGAAAATATATTTAAATTAGTTAGAATTTATGCATGCATGCAGTCATATCGTGAATAGAAAGAAATTTTTCTAATAAATTTTGTAAAGATCGTTTTAAAAATAAAATCAATATAAATGTTAGTATTAATAAAGCTAGTTCATGTGCCTGAATAGAAATGTTTATCACTTAATTTAATTTTTTGGCTCTGCATTGAATGAATGAGTCGGGTAAAAATACTGTAATTACAGAATTAGATAAAGTAAATAAATTTTGTAAATAATAAATTCTGCATAAACTGTATAAATAATAAATTCTGTATAAACTGTATAAAATTCTGTATAAACTGTATAAATTTCTACATACATCATACATATTCTCACTACTTTAGATACTCACTACTTTAGATACTCACTACTTTAGATACTTATTACTTTAAATACTCATTATACATACGTATTCACTACTTTAGATACTCATTACTTTAGATACTCATTATACATACGTATCCACTATTATTAGATACTCATTATACATATTCACTACGTATGCATATTCATTATACATATTCACTACGTATGCGTATTCATTATACATATTCACATACATATGTATACTCATTATACATATTCACATACATATGTATACTCATTATACATATTCACATACATATGTACACGCATATATACATACATACATACATACCAAATACATACATATGTACATACGTACGTACGCACGATTCTCAAAAACATTAGTAACCGAGAATCAAAATATCACAAAAGAATTGCGCGTAGAAGATAAACAGACATGCTTGTATAAGATATGCAAGATTACGTACTAGATATGACCACGATGTCCGATATATTAACATCTTATTGTTATAGTTTCTGTGTAACATTTATTTATAACCAATAATTGATATTTGCATAATCAAAAAAAGACATTCTTTTGAGGATAATCTATGTTACTAAACAGGTATTTGTCAAGTATTAGTCAAAAATATTGCATACATGTTATATACATGATATACATACATGATGTAGCATATAGTTATATGCTGTTGTTATCGTACAATATAAATACAACATAAATACAACATAAATACAACATAAATACAACATAAATACAACATAAATACAATAGAAATACAATATAAATACAATAGAAATATAATATAAATATAATATAAATACACAATATAAATACAATATAATTAATTACATTCTTTATATACATATATATTATATATATAAATATATATACTCAATTAGCTTATACTCGATTAGCATTGATTGTCTAAATATATTATTTTTTGATGACCTAATAATTAATATATATATATCTTTGGCTTCTCCCATAAATAATATTTTTATTCATGCAACTCATTAGGCCCATACCGATAAAACCTTGCTTTCTAAAAAGGAATGTCCATTTTTCTTCAACTTCTATGGTTAGGTGGCGAATTTGTTCTTGTTGTGATTCTAAATCCATTTTTTTTCACTGATTCATTTATGCTGCGTAATAGAATTCTTTCATTATTCGATTATTTATTTAATTAATTAATATTCAATTATTTATTCATTAATTCATTATTCGATTATTTATTCGATTATTTATTCGATTATTATTCGATTATTTATTCGATTATTTATTAGATTATTTGTTCGATTAAATTATTCGATTATTTGTTCGATTATTTGTTCGATTATTATTCGGTTACTGTATTTATTCGATTATTTATTCGATTATTATATTATTCGATTATTCGATATTATTCGATTATTAAATGACATCATTCCCTGCCATTAATCATATTAGTCATGCTAGATATAGTACGTAGTTTAATGGTTGGTGCACGATACTAAACGCTAATGCTGTAATGTAAACGCTAATGTAAACGCAAATGTAAATGTAAACGCTAATGTACGTACTTATGTAACTTACGTACTCTTACGTCTGTAGTCTTACGTCTGTACGTCTTACGTCTGTACGTACTTACGTATGTCCCTACGTACGTACGTACGTACTTGCCTGTACGTCAATAAAAAATTTTTTTCCATTTGTATTCTTTTTATTGTCCCGATTATCTGAAAAAAAAAAAGAAGCATTCATGAACTCAAAATATAAATCTTGATGCAATCTGCAAATTATGTGCTTTAAACCTTATCATATTTTATGTTTAACGAAATATGAAAAAAAAACTTTTTTGTTTTTTTATTTTCGTAAATATTTATGCGGTGTTTTTTTTGCGTTAATATGTATAGATCTGTAAGGTGCAGATTCATTAAACTGTGGTATTGGCATGTTTTTTTTTTGTTATGCAGTGTATTTTTATGTTGTGCACCTTTTATGTTGTGCATTTTTTATATTGTGCATGTTTTATATTGTGCATTTTCAATGGTGTTATTTTTTTGTTTTTTTTTATGTAGTGTATTTTTTTATGTTTTTTTTTTTTTTGTTTCATCTGTACGTAAAAATTGTAATGATTTACAAGATACACGAATAAAAACAAAATATAATGTAAAACGAATATTTGCACGAAACGTATGCAAGTGCGTAGTATGCAAGTGCGTACGTATATACATCTGCACGAAACGTATGCAAGTGCGTACGTATATACATAAGTATGTACTTACATATGTACGGAGGTATGCATATACGCGTGTAGAAACGTTTTTTAGGTTCAATCATGTAGCATTTAACTCTCTTTTTTCTCTCGCGAACAATTGTTGTAATTGTGTAATTTACTTACTTTATAATTTACTTATAATTTACTTATCGTTATAATTTACTTACTATTTACTTATAATTTACTTATAATTGTGTAATATTAAAAATATATTATTAAATCATCAAAATATCGCTATTAAATCAATTGTTAAATATATATTATTTAATTTTATGTAATCTAAAATTTATGTTGTGCGTGGGATTTTCGAAGTTTACCATTTGTCATTGAATGATCGGCGGAAAATTATGATAGGAAAAACGTATGTATATCTGATACATTATCATGGTTACATGTAATAAAACAAAGAAATAGTGAAAAAAAAAAATTCGGTAACGCAGATTTTGCATATCAAAGGTACATACATACATAATATACATACATAATATACATACATAATATGCATACATAATACGTACAGTACGTACATAATACGTACGTTACGTACGTACTTTTATGTATGTAAGTGATTACAAATTTATATGCATTGATAAAGAATTGGTCTGCCACCTTGACATGTTTTTTATTCTTATTCTTTCTAAATATTGTACGTACGTGAAATGACTTACTTAATGAGTTTAATTTGGTCAAAATGATAATCCGATAACACTATCAAAATTATCTTTGGAATGAAAATCTTTTGAATGATTATATTACTTATTCTAATTATATCATTTCCATTTATTCGGCGTTATTATGAAACCCAACAACATCCTCGTGATCATTAAGCGACTTGATAAACTTGTTAAGTTTATCTATTAATTCTTTGTCATCATTATCAACTTTGACTGTCGATGTAGGAATGTATCCGCTGCTCATACTGGTAACCTCGTAATTATATTTCGTTATCAATTCTTGAGATATTGTATTAACTGATGAATTAGGACATGTAATCTAAAATGAATTATATATATTAAAATATATATTATCAAAATATATATTATCAAAATATATACGTATTACGTATCAAAATATATAGTTTCAAATATATATTATCAAAATATATATTATTAAAATATATATTAACTATATATTTTATTATTGATTTATTTATTTCGAAAATCATGTGATTATGTAAATTATTACCTCCAATACATTCTCTTCCAATTCTTGTATATCTTCAACTCCAAATATTTCGATTGCTTTGTCCATCATCATGTCAAGGTTATCTTGTGTACTACCTGGATTAAATTGGATTGTACCTTCACGTAGTTATCGCGTCAAATAAATATGTTTGAAATCGTTTTACTGTATAATTTTCTCAATCTTCAATTAATTCTTATGCATACCTTTCTTTTCAAACATCCATGAAACATTCGACATTGACCCTCTTATTAGTAATAAAAAAACGCGTACTACCAATTAGTGGATTACTTTGAACATGATCCATTGAGTTTATCCTATTTTCTTACCCATTTTTAGTGAAAAGACTTTTTACTTCTTTTACGGTTCTATTTTTATTATCTGTTAATGTATCTCTTTACGAATATGATTACATACATCAGTTTTTAAGGTTAACAATTTGAATACCACAATTCATTTTTAAACAAACCTTTACATTATAAATGCGATTCCACCTGGTCCATAACCTTCGTAAGTTACACTCTCGACATTGTTTCCATCTTTTCCTTGGCCAAGTGCCTTTAAATATCACAAAATAATTTTATCATTTATTATTACTTCAAATCAATGATATTGACTCTTTTGACCCATTGTTGTTGATCTCTAAACTGTGGTAAATTTATGATATGGGTTTTAAAATGACTCGAACATTAGTCTAACTATTTGGTATCTACCGGTATATAACAAAAAATAAGTGATAAAAATATATATTTATACTTGGTCTTCAATGAGAGCATTCAAGAAACAGAGGCGACCCAATATAAGCTTACATATATTTTTTTGATCACGATACATCATATGAGTGCCGCCGTAAATCTTACTAGATAAGATTTGCGGGTTTTCTCTTGGCGGCACTCATACCACAAAGTTAACGTGTTAAATAGCAGATCAATAACAATCGGTTAAAGTGGTCAATATCAATGTTTTTTTTTTACCAAATAAAAAAAAAAAAATACTCTTTTAAAAGCATTTTCCACGTTATCTTTAGGTAAACACGCCTTTTTTGCTTGTGCTAGTGCTGCGGCCAGACGAAGATTCATACTAGGATCTGTACTTCCACCAACTTAAAAAAAAAAAAAAAAAAAAAAGATAAATAATAACAAATGATATATAATAATAATAAAAAATAGTTGGATGCTACAAACTTCTTATAGAGAGTTGAATTTCTTTGGTAAGTTTTGCAAACAAGTTACCGCGTTCAACGTCTTTAACTCCCTTAGTATGTTTTATTTTACTCCATTTATTATGTCCCGAAAATCTTTTTTGTCCCGAAAGAACATTATAAAAATCAATAAAGTGTGAACAATTTAAAGAAAAAAGATTATGTAAAGAACGTGAAAGAAGACCGTTAGATATCGTTCTAGTATAAAGCATTATATATCAATATCAATATCGATATTGTTTGGCGTTAAGAGTTTTTTAAACTCTTAATTTTGAGTCAATTTATAAGTTATGTTAATCAATCAAAATTAACCAATTAAATTTGTTAATTTATCTATGTCACCTGAATTTTTAGATAAAATTTTTACTGATCAAACTGAAATTTACCAAAATTAATCGAACTAAATTTACCAAAATTAACTCAAAAATTAACTCAAAATTAACCGGAAATAATAATTTGATTAAAAAATTGGTTCTTAATAATGAAAAAAATTTTTATTATGCTATAGATGTTTAATCGAGTTATTTGACTATTTTCAAGAAGTTTATGATTTGGCTTGTTAAGTTAATGAACTAATACCCGTATAAATCCGAAATAACGCCCAGGGGTGTAATTTAAAATTTTGGCCTAAATTAAGCTTAATTCTGGCCAAAATCTAAAATAAAGCCCCTGGGCGTTATTTCGGATTTATACGGTAAGTTAATGAACTAATAGTTTGTCTAAAGAATTTAACGTAAGAAAATATATAATCAATTTATCATATTAAGTCTTAATGCCAACTCATCCGAGGGTTTCCTAACTGCTAAATGTTTTTAAGTATCAAAATGTAAAACCTTTCAGTTTTCTTTACAAATCGTAAACAGTTAAATAGAATAATGTAATAATAAAATATTATGCTATAATTAAAAAGATAATATCTCTCTTCGAAAATCAATAACACAAAGACACGTCCAAATAAATTTGTTGATATTAACTACAATACGTGAACCAATCTATATTCATTACGATGAAATCGTTTTGAGACTAAAATTCTAGATTTGAACGCTTTTATTAATATCTTTTTGGGTTTTTTTTGAGCGATTTATTTTTTGTCAGTTATTGACAGTACTACTTACATATCTTTCAATCCACTTTATGTCCAGAATAAACGCGTCTAGATAAATTTTTTTCTTCAATGCAGACAAGAATGAGAAGAGGGAATAAATATATAAGACAACATGCACTAATTTCTTTTGTTGGTTTTTTTTCCTATAGATATGAGTTTATTCCATTTGCAGACTGTCGTTGAGGTTTCAGATAGGACAAGCCCGTTGGCGGTAATAAAACTGGAGTTAATACTTTAGAATTCGCCAATTCTGTTTAGAGGACGTTGTAAACTAAATGAACGTTTGATTTTCTGTATATATTTATATATATACTTTAAGTTAAAAAGATCAAAATAAAATCTTTAGTTATATCATAATTTGCCGATATAAATAATTATAATAAAGTACATCAAGTTGGCCAAAAAAAACTTTATAACTTGGAATATTATTAATATATATATTATATATTCCATTTTTTATTACTTTTTGTTAATAAGTAATTAAATTTTTTTTTTTACTTAGGCAATCTTGCCGGTTTTATTAAACTTTAATTCCTACGTACAAAACAGAATCAGTCCTATAAAGACTGGGCCCCAACATCATGTAGTTTCTTTGTGAGCATTACATATGATTTGCTATACTAGAAAGATATAATATCTGTTTAGAAAGCATATCAGATCACTATTCTACAATAGGATGTTATCAATCTGATAACATCTTTTTGTAAAAAAAAAAAAAAAAAAGAAAAAATATTACTACTAAAAAGAGTTAAAAAATTAACAAACATTGTAATTAGAAAAAAGATATATCTTAAAAACCAAACTATGGTTAATTATACTAAAAATCCAATATATTACTTATAATTGTAGCATACTGGTTAGAGATGTTAATTGCTAGCTTGGCTTAGCTTGGCTCAAAAAATCATGGCTCAAAGCTCAAGCTATGGCTTTATAACTATAGTTTAAGTTATAGTTTTAAACCATAGTTTTAAGCCAGCTATAGTTTTTTTTTTTTTTTTTAATCTTCAAAGATAAGGCTATGCATTAGCTATAGTTTTAAAAAAAAATTAAAAAAATAATTTTTAATAAAAATTAAAATCAAAATTTGAAAGTGTAGTAATTTAGAGTAGGAGTTAAGTTGTTATTTCTCAAGCAGCAGGTTTAGAGTTCAATTTTCATCAGAAACATTTTTAGAAAAATAGGTCTGTATATTAGTAAATCCAAGGAACCAGAATAATTAAAATCAGTTTGGCAAAGAGGTAGTAAAGATTTTTGACAATATTGTAGAAAGCTGAAAATCAGAAATTAAAGAACTGGACAAAAATTCTGAGTTAAGAAGTATTTACTAATCTGGCTGTCAGAGTCATACTAAAAGAAAGGTCTTATATTATAGAATTAGGAACCAAGAAAAGTAAAACCAGAAGGTATTTAAAGCTTAGATACAATAATTCATCTGAGCTAATTGGTTTAGTAGTTTGGAAAGGATCAGTATAAGAATCAGTTTGATGTAGATATTAAGATTAGAATGAACTATATAAGGGTATTGAATACTGAAATTGTGCAGTTTAATAGTTAACCCTGACTGCTAGTACTGTTACAAAAGATATTTAAAGCCTAATCTTAAAATGTGTAGGATATAGAAAATTAGGGAGTATGTACTATACCTTCCTTAAAGCAACTCCATAATATGAGAATTCTACTGAATTATCTATAGAATTAGAGCATAAGTAATATAGCACATATCAATCTGAGTGGTTTTCAATTGAAGCAGTATAAGGTTATGGGTTGGTATAATTGTGGTAGTAGTGCAGAACAGGTGACATCAGAGAGTTTAAATAGATAATTTTTTAGTTAGGTTACAGGTACAGCATATAGTATAGAAACTTTAAGCAAATTACTTAAATAAGCAACTAAAAGTTATATATGTGGCTAAATATACTTTTATTAATCAAGTATATACTACTAAAAATACCTAATAAAAATTTGTCTTTCTACAACATTATGAAGGTTAAAAAAAAAAATTAAAATTTTATAAATTCTAAGTTAGTTTGTATTATAGCAAAATTTTAAACAAATTAGTTTAATAGTATACTTAGTTAATTTATTTTATTTAAAAATTATAACTTTAATTTCATTACAATCTTTTGTAACAGAAAAATTAAAATTATTAATTATTAATAATATTAATAATAAAATTTTTATTTTTTTGTTACATATTAATAGTAATTAATAGTTTGTTTTTTTTTAATATTAAGATAAGACTTTTCTTATATCTTTATTAATAGTTTTTAATATAATAACTACAGTAAATTACTAATCTTTAAATATATTGAATATAAAAAATAAAAACTATATACAAGAATAAAAGCTCAGACTACTTTATTTGTAATCTAAATCTACTAGAGTAGTCAAAAACTTATCTAGATTGTAATAGTTAAAATATAATTTGAAGATATACTATATTTAATCTATAATATATTATAAATATTAATTTTGCAAATAGTCTGTCTAAGTAATAGACAAGAATTGTTAGTATATAATTGATTAGACAAGTTATATCAGCATAAATAGGTATATGAATTTTTTTAGTTTGTCTTAAGATTTGGTTAGAATGTAACAAAAATTAGGTGATTTTTTAGAGAAAGAAGAGTATAAAAAATTTAAAATTATATATAAAGACCTAATCAAAATATATAATAAGAGGGAGAGAGGAATAAGCTTCTAATAAAAAAATCATATAATAAATAACACTGCCTTTATTGAATTGTTATAGTTGAGGTTGGTTATAAGTTAAAATAATATTATATTACTTTTTTCAATTTGAAAAATTAATACAATATGGTTTCTATATTTATTTATAGATAAGTTCATTAATTTGAATTAGGATTTTAATAATAGTTTGAGAAGCCAGTTTGTATAGAATATTATATTTTTAAATAGTTTGAATTAAAGATA